GCCATAAGAAATATGTTTGCTATCGTCGTAAGAGGCTTGGAGCTTCTGTGCCACCTTTTTTTGTGCTAAAAGCTGAAAATGTTTTCTTGAGAACTCCGAAGATAATACTGTCAACATTAAATCTAGATGTATATTTTTGCTTAGATTTTGGTGCAACATGGCTAATGATAATGTAAATAATACCATGGCTATAATTGATTTTGTTATCTCATCGCACTCATTGTAATGCTCTGTTCTGGATGTAACTTTTGAGCCAGCATATCCCTATACACACTACTTGTCAAAAAAAAAGTGCTTGATAACAGTAATGCTGCTGACATTCTTTCATATAGAAGATTACCTGTTAGTTTAAGTAATCCTTGATATTGGTTCTTAGATGGAATACCTAAATATTTTGATAAACTAATGATATGATAATCCTGTTTGGAAACAAAATTATGGATTGATTGTTATCTCATACTATTTATCAGATTTTCTCTGGTGAAATTGGTGCATGCGCTCATGTTTTTGCATTTTTGGCATGAATTTGCAGACATTGGTTTACTTCTATGAACCCTTAGACGTGGAGCAAGATCAGGTTATTGAAGGCTCTCTAACATTGTCACAAAGCAAAGAAAATGCTCGATTCATGAACATCCATCTTGAATATTCGTATGTTTTGACTCAAAGCTCAATCAAGGCCACTATCTTAGTTTTCTTTCAGCTTTTCAGGTATTACCTATAAGTTTAACATCCTTTTCACATTCTTCATCATGCAGATCTGGCGGACGTTCATTTGTCAAAGAGTCGGTGATGCGTTAAATCAACATATGAAGTCTTTGTCAGCTGAACCATTGTGATGGTCGTTCATATTCTGCTTGTAATTTAGGTAGGGAAACGAAAGTGAGTTCAGGGCATTTGCACTGCCTCTAAACTTAAAAGCACTGAATGCGTCAATTTCACTGCATATTCACGTAGTGTATTATGTGAAAACTTGTAACATGTTTCCGCGAGAATATGAGTCTTTCCTGAGCTGTAATTTATAGAGTAGATGTAGGGTTGATCTGGTACTGTGTTAGAATTTTTTAATTAGTTTGATTCATTTGAATATGAAAAAGATAAAAAAAAAAAAATCTAATTATTTCTTCAACCACCAGCTTGTGACAGGTTAAACTGTTATCCTCTTCAGAGTCTCCCTTTTCCAGTTATTGTACTGTTCTTTTAGTATTCCCCTTCTTTGTTTAGGTACAGTCCATTGAGGTGTATGTTAGAAGTGCTAAATTTGATAAATATTTCTATCCCATAACAATAAGGGATAATATAGAAACACAGACAATCAAACATGGCCTCAGCTGACAAGAACTCCAACTCTCGAGTAAGCACGAAGCACCTCAATTCGTCTCCACAACGTTGGCTGTCCATGAGACATAATGGTGATGAGTTGGAGTGTTTAGATGTAGCCTTAACTTGTCATCTAAGGTCAAGTTTGAATGTTTGTTTATGTATTATGCCTAAAGAGAACCATCGACATACGACATATAATCTAAGGACTTTTGAGACAAATAATCTAACATAAGATTTAGTGTTATACATCAAAGGATCTATTGATTGAGTGAATAAATATTGTTTTCCTATAAAACGGATCTCGTCCCCTGGTAGGTCACTTCCATTTCACTTAATTATTCATGCATCTTTATTGCATGAATAACTAGTGACAACTTTATTTTGGAAGTCTATTGCAACCACTAGGGCCTTATATATGACTATATATATGTCCCATGTTCTCTAATTATTATTTTTGTGCATGACTTACAATTTTCACGCCTTTGACTGCTACAATCATTGTATGTTTCTTTAGTAATATCAACCCACGAGAGTTACAGTGGAGTGGTAAGTACTCCTTCATCATTTAGCCAAAGATATTGTGTTCGAGTCTCCATGGATACGTAGTCCTTATTTGTTTGGAAGTGTGTTACCTTCATTGTGATTTGGATTTAGTCGAGCTTTAATTTGGATGTTAAACATCGTGTGGGAAATTGAAAAAAGTAATATACTAGAGAGAAAAGGAAAATGATTTAGTTTCTATTGTCATTAGGTTATAATTATATACATTTGTTAAAATGATTAGCAATTCCTAATGGTTGAAGGTTACAAAAGTCTATCATAAGAGACAATAAAATTCCATTTCCTCTTTAAGTCTTAATTGACATTAAAGATACATCTAGAATATGGTTGAAATTTTATCACAAGAAAATATTTATGACATGAAATTTGAGATGGTAGAAAGCAATGATTTGAAGTTTTATTATTGTCAAGTTCACATTCTATGAGATAAAATTTATAATAGAATTACAGTAATTTTGTACTTGATCCTTTTTTCCCCTTTCCAGCCTAAAAAAACACTTCAACGTGAGACCTTGAGAGATATATAGATAGACATATAAGGGACATAGGGTCGATAAATTTGATATTTGATTTGACTAAACATTTCTCTTTTTTTGATTCTTTTTTCTTTTCTTCTGTATCTGATTACAAACAACTCACTATTCCAAGTCAAATTGATTAAAAGAAGAAAAAAAAAACTTATTGTTTTAAATCAAAGTTATACCCTAATTAGAAGAAATCAAAAGTTATCATATAAAATTATAAGCAAGGCATGATACAAAATTGACTCTAAGTCCAACCATTTTAGTTATTTTTTGCGTGAACTTTAGGCAGAAATGTATACTTTAATCGGTTCTTGTGTTATTCAATCCCTTTATTTAAAATTTGATTTTGTCAAACTAACATCAAACATGTATGTCTGAAGTGATGAGTCCATCTTTTACCCTTATGGCCATATTGAATTGTAGGGACTTACAACTCTTATCATGCCTACAATAAATTGAAAAACTATAATTGCGAAGGAAAAAGATGAATAATGCACCTTTATAAAAAGAAGTTGAGACTTGATCATCATCTCTTTTATTCATAATAATAATTGGTCCCTCCACTCTTCCAAAATATATTTGCTTGTTTTGCTATGCTATTTAATTTTAAGAAAACAAAGTTTTTTAAATATGAGAAAAATCACTTTTCTAATGAAGTTTCACAAATTATAAAGTGACATTTTATGTTTGATTATATTCTTCCTTCGCTTCAGCATACTTCGAAAAATATTTTTTGTCGTACCGAACACACCCTAAATTATTAGTTGGGTAACAATTTGATGTCTTGTGGATGGTGAAAACTCATTATTCTCTCTATTGTATATGTGAATGCTTTAGTTACATTGGGAAGGCTAGCTAGCCAAAAGCTTCATACTTTAAGTATTTCATGAAAAGTGCACAATAGTTATAATTTCATTCTCTTATGGTCAAACCTCTTTAAAATGTTTATAGTAATAGTTTCATTTGTTTGAACTTTTTCCCTTTTTGAATATAATATCAATTGATTCTTACACATCTATAACAATAATTTGATATTTCTTGAAACAAGAAATATTTCTATTGATAATAGTTTGATCCGAAAATATCAAATACCAAATAAAAATAACAATAAAAAAGGTAACATTCGATGAATAATAAGATGAGATAAATATACCATTCTATAGTAAATTTTAGATGAAAAGTTAGAGAAGTGAATATCTTTCAAATTCATAATAAGTACATTGATTAGGTAATATTTTTTTAATCTTAAGCTAATTGGTCTTTTGTCGTGTGCTTATTTATTTATTTGTACTTTTAAAGAAGCTTTTAATAGAGAGAGGAATACATAAACATGTGTGGAGAATCTCTATATAGTCAAGAGACCCCATCACATTGATGTAATCATTTTGTCACCTCCTTAAACAAAAGAGTTTTTGTCTATAAGATAATAATTTCGAAATAAAATGTGCATTATTTTATTTCGTATTTAATTATGAGTAATAAATAGTTTTAAAATTTCTTTATTAGTTATTTCATATATTTCTTATAAAAAGTGAAATAAATAATTTCATAAATTATTTTAACTTATGAGATGTTTTTATCTATCACATCCTATCAACCAAATAACTTACAGTACAAAAGATATTTATAGAATCAGATTATTTATATAAATTATATAATTTTTTGTAATCAATATTTATAGGAAATTTAATAAAGATGGTAACTAATAATCTACTATATCAAGTAAAAACACACGTGGTGTATAAAATTTTTTCATTATGAGTGTATATATATGAATTAAATCCTTTAATTAAACTTATAAGTACTTTCAAAGAAATTTAAAACCATTTAAATGATTATATCAGTCCATAATCATGAAAGAAAATGGCATTTTTTGCATCCTATTTTGTTAGATTACTTTTTGATAGTCAAGCAAGTTGATGAAATTGTTCGACAATAATTAGGTTTCAGGTTTATATTTCGATAGAGACAAAATATTAGGTAATTTTTTTCTATTTGTTTTAGTTTTGATGAAAAAAATTACTTGATACTTATTAATTGTGCGAGGAACATGTAATAATTTGATGCCCCATAGCATAATATATTGAACCATCAAGGATTGTAGTACATGATAAATATATCTTCATTTTTAATTAGATATTTCGAATTCAAGCAATGAATATAGAGTCATTTTTTAGGCGAATGTAATTTAATCGAACCTTAATACAGATACCAAACATCAAATATAATACCAGAAAAGATGCCTTTGAGATTTTTTAGGCGAACCAAATTTAATCGAACCCCTAATACAAATATCAAACTTCAAATATAAAACCAAAAAAGACGTCTTTTTGAATTTGAGGAAAATGAAATTTTATCGAATCCTAATACAGATACCAAATATCTATATAAAAACAAAAAAGATATTTATACAATAAATTCAAAGAAACACCAAAATGAAACCTCATCATTCAATTATTTCTTCTCACCCTCCAAAAAATGGGCCAAAGGTTTCTTCTCCAACCCCACAACCCTCCCACCCCCACTCCCACCCACCCCTCAAACCCTTTTTCTTCTATTCACATCCCAAAACCTTAAAAACAAATTAAAAACTCTCAACTTCCCTCTCACCACACACACAAAAAAAAATGTTTCTCCCCTTTCTAGCCTTAGCAATTTTGCTCATTTTCTCTCCTACCACCATTGCAACAACTTCAAGTGAAATCAAGAACTCAACTCATGAAATCTTCAATGTAAAAGAATCCATTGCCCAATTAGACACAAAACCCCAAACCCCATTTGAAAATCAAGAAGAATTTCATGTTGATAATGAAATTGAACAAGAAAATGGAAATTGGAAACTCAAGCTCAAGCTCATTCACAGAGACAAACTACAAATTCCCCATTTTCCATATAATAATAACAAAGTATTTGAAGGTCGAATCAATAGAGATTTGAAAAGGGTGTCCAGTATCATTCACAGAATTCAAAATGGTGGTGTTAATTACCGGGTCGAGGAATTCGGGTCGGATCTTATTTCGGGTATGGATCAAGGTAGTGGGGAATATTTTGTTAGGATTGGTGTAGGTAGTCCAGCTAAGAACCAATACATGGTTCTTGATTCTGGTAGTGATATTGTTTGGGTACAGTGTCAGCCCTGTACCCAATGTTATCACCAATCCGACCCGGTATTCGACCCATCTCTTTCCGTGTCGTTTACTGGTGTCCCATGTGGGTCGTCAGTATGCGACCGGGTTGAGAATTCTGGTTGTCATTCGGGTCGGTGTAAATATGAGGTTATGTATGGTGATGGTTCATATACTAAAGGTACAATGGCAATTGAAACATTGACATTTGGTCACACTATGGTTAAAAATGTTGTTATTGGTTGTGGACATAGAAATAGTGGCATGTTTACAGCTGCTGCTGGATTATTGGGCCTTGGCGGTGGGTCCATGTCACTAGTGGGCCAACTCGGCGGGCAAACAGGCGGTGCATTTAGTTATTGTTTAGTGAGTCGGGGCACCGACTCGACTGGGTCACTCGAGTTCGGTCGAGGGGTGTTACCGGTCGGTGCGGCGTGGGTGCCACTTATTCGAAATCCACTAACCCCGAGTTTTTACTATATAGGGTTATCAGGGCTCGGAGTCGGAGGCGTCCGAGTACCGATATCGGAAGACGTGTTTAAGATCACCGAGCTCGGGGACGGTGGAGTCGTCATGGACACAGGGACGGCCGTGACACGACTACCCTCAGAGGCATACGTGGCGTTTCGGGACGCGTTTATAGCCGAAACCGTGTCGCTCCCTAGGGCACCGGCCGTGTCGATATTCGACACGTGTTATGACCTAGACGGGTTCGTGACGGTTCGGGTACCGACCATTTCGTTCTTCCTTTCGGGTGGGCAAATCCTGACCCTGCCAGCTAGGAACTTTCTAATTCCAGTGAATGACAAGGGTACATTTTGTTTTGCATTTGCTCCATCACCATCAAAACTTTCTATAATAGGAAACATCCAACAAGAAGGCATCCAAATTTCATTTGATGGAGCAAATGGTTTTGTGGGATTTGGTCCCAATATTTGCTAGCTTATATAATTATTATATTATGTAAAAAATGATTAACGTTCTTAATTTTTTACAATTTTTTCTTGAGAGGTGTAATTTTACGATTAGTAGAGTGGATTTTTTGTTAGTATAGTACTACAATAACAACATATTCAGTATAGTTTATGAGGTCTGAAGAGAATGAGGAGTTGACGTGTTATTTTGAAAAGGTAGAGTGGTTGTTTCTGAACGTTATATAATATTAGTTCTTTTAAAATATTATGATTGAAGATATGAAGTAAAGAATTTGGTTCCATTTGCTAGTGCTTTTTAATTAAGTAAACTTATGTGGCTACTCTATGTAGTACCTAATGATTATAATCCCAAAGGTATGTCCTTTACTTGTTTTAGGGAGTAAACATAGATTCTATAAAACATTATTTTTATACTTATTGATCAACTTTAATATCCCCAATAAAGACATCTTAAGGAAGAATTATTATCAATGTATTTTAATTAGTTATAGTTTGGTTTTTTAGTTTATTTTCACATATATATGTTACTAAATCAAAATTACAATTGATAATTGTGCTTTGTTGTAGCTCACTTTAATTACAAAATATTGTCAATGTAATGGAGTTTTGCACTATTAAGTTCTTTACTTGTTATAACAGGAGTAACCTGTCTTATTTTTATAATTATAAATTTTACATTCTAAGATGACTTGCGTATAAATATTATTTTGACTATCCGATCAATATACCTAAGTTAAACTCCTAATAAAAAAATAAGGGTGTGTTTGGGAAAGGTGTTAAGTAAAAGTAATTGTTAAATAATAATAGTCAAAACTTGGTATAGAGTATAGACATAAATTTGGAGTAAAAAGTAGATAAGAAAAAAGGGGATTTACAAAACAAGAGGATCCAAGAGAACCTTTTTTTCTTCTTCTTGTTCCCCCCTACCCCCCTACCCCTCACCTCCACCCCCCACACACAACACACTTTTTATTTTTATTTTTTTGTTTATCTCATTTTGAGTAGAAATAATTCAAAGTCCCTACAAGGTATAATGGACATGATTCTGACAAAACAAAATGGTTTCTCATTGCCATTAATGTCCAACACCAACTTTTTCAATCTTTTTTTTTTTGAATTTTTTGAGAGATTCCTTTACTTACTTTTTTACTTTCTTTATTAGTGAATGACTATACATGTTTCATTACAACTTTCGTTCTTACTTTCCTAATCTCAAAATACTTATCTTGTTTTTTATTTACATATTTTTAAGAAAAAAATATTAATCATTTAATAGGATTGTTTGATTATATTTTATCTTTATTTATATTATATTGTAAGATATTATTCTCTTTTCATTAAATATTTCCTATATTTATGTGTTATAATTGAGGTGTTTAATTTGTAGTCTTCAAAAACAGTTATTACCAATGATAAAATGAAAAAAAAAAATTAAAATAAATACTTTAAGATAAATATTTTTAGTAAGGATGATAAGTATTTTGCGAGGAGGGGGAGTACTTATTAATATATCCACTAGAGCGGAGTTAGGGGAGTACAAGAGGTTTATTCTAACTCTTTTTGCTGAAAAATAATATTATTATGTATCTAGATATTAAATTTCCTTAATTTTTATTTATTTATTTACTTTTTTACATTCTAAATACTTTCGTCACTCATAGACGGAGAAACCAAAAGTGCACATATAAATTAATTGAAGATTAAGATGTACTTGAACCAAAACATGACAAGCATCAAACTTTTTGTCCCCATGTATACAGAAAAATTAACAGAGTGACAAAGACAAGAGAGGAAAATATTGAAAAATGTTGTGTTAAAATCATGAGAAGAGAGGAGTCACCCACCACCAAGGTGAACATGTGAAACTAATCACTACTTTTCACCATGTGTTCGATGTTTGTATTGAAGTTCGATTAAATTTGGATTCGTATTTGAAAGTTTCACTGTAGGAGGTAAAATGCTTTTGAATATTGACGGCTTCATATTCAAAAAGACTTAAACTCAAAATTTCTAATTAAAAATGAAAGAGTACTTATAACTCCACCAAAATCGTCGTTTGGTAGTATTGTTTTACCTTTGTTGCATCTGAAATTGGAAGTTTGTTCCACCAATTACTTTTTGTAAAGGTGTTTGCTTTTTCACTCTTTTGCAGAATTGACATTGCAATGCTTACATACTACATCTCCTCACCTTGTAGTGTTTGCACATTCAATGAGGAGAGGACATTTCGACACACAAAACATTTTGTAACTATGCAAGTTTGGGAAGGATCGCACATTAGGGTGTTATGTAGATAGCCTACTTTGATGCAAACATCAACGACTGATTTCGCGACTTAAATATATAACTTATAGTTCACAGGAAGATAAATTTGTCATAGCTAGAGACTTCCCTTCAAATTCTCTTCTAATCATAACAAGATAAATATATCTATATATGTTTTTGCAAATCAAATACCAAATAGAGAGACATTAACTTATATGGAAGTGATAAAATGAAAGTCCATGTTGATATACCAATATAAGGGTCTCTTACTAGTCAATGAAGTGAGTCGAACATCATAGAAAACCATGATTCAATCCCTCCTTAGAGTCAATATTGACGGCCAGAATTATCTGATATTTATGTTAGTGAGAGATATCGTAAAGAAATGGATATGCATGCCTCAACCCCAAAAACTAGTTTATGACGTGTGGATTGCTCAAGACCATATAAAGAGACCATTCATCTCATTAACCACACCAATGTGAGACTTCTTCCCTTTTCAACACCCCACCTCACGGTTAGAACTGAACATCTAGAAGATGAACAATTTAATACGAGGGTCCATTAACCACCGATATGGGATGGATCCTCCTACGGTACAATGTAAAACTAGCTCATAATTAAGAAAAAGATTGTCCAAAAATCACTTCATCTCGTTAACCACTGATATAAGACTACTTCACTCTTAATAAATATCACTTACCTAATAAAAAATCAAACACACACAATCAGTTGATCCCAACACCATCGTTATTATTAAAACACAAGTACATTAAGGTCAATTTTGCAAATATCTTTTATAGATGTAGTAGGTACATGATATTATATTACTGTTGGATCACATGAAAACTTCTCTATCTTCTCTCTCCAACTCAAGAATTTTGAAATTAAGCATTGATGAGAGACCCCACAAAATTCAACATAATTTTCTTCATGAAATTGTGATGAAAAGAAAGGAATCAATAAAAGGCAAAGCCAGTCTTTGCTCAGACATTTGGATCAATAAGAGAATATACACACTTTACCACTAAGAAAGTGAGATAGTGGAATTATCAAGTTATTTCAATATAAAATTTGGGATTAAAATTTTAAAATGCGTAGTTGTTGATATAGTGAAAATCAAAATAAAATGTATATCAACGTTATAAGATTATTCACCATATATAAAAGGCGAAACTGTTTATCGTATTTATCATGCATTTTATTTTGAACAAAACGATCCCGTGTTAAAAAAAAACAAATTTTCAAGTATTACAAAAAAAGGGCAAAGTGAAAGATGAAATGCGCCTAAGGTTGTATATAAGTAAGCAGCTTTATTTCTCTTCTTTTACTTTTTCCTTTGTTTTACAAAAATAAACTTTATTTCTTTCTTGATTATTTGAGTTAAAAGTTTCTTGAATTACATATTGCTATATGTTTTAGTCTAAATTAGTAAAAGAGAAATATATGTTTTAGTCTAAATTAGAAAAAGAGAAATATTACTTAAGTTTGTTTTCCATGGTACTTTTTTTGTTGTTGTTGACGAGAGAATCCACAATTACTATCCTTCTAGTGTGCACAAGTAACTTTCGCTTCCGTATAATAGTTCGAAACAAACTTGATTTTCAACCAAGCACATACATATATATATCATTATTTGAATACAAGTTACAACGTAGAATACACACAACAAAGTAATAACACACTAACTAAGGAGAAATTAACACAGAAGAAGGTAGCTAGAAAGGGATGAGATACTATAACAGAGAAAGGGGATGAGAGATAACTGACAACCAAAACTTCCACATATTTTTCATAACCGTTCTTTCTAATCCCTAGAGCTTTTTAAAAATAGCTAATTGGGTTTGAATTCCAAGTAGTGCCGGCAAAATGAGCCCATGTTTTAATGGGTTGGGTGAGTGATTTTTTACATGAGTAAAATATGGGTTGATAACCATATTCAACCCATAAAAATATGGGTAAAGTATGGATTAGTCAAATGGGTTAAGCTTCTAACTTTTATTCACTATAAATTCATGATATCACTAAAAATATTGTAATTTCTCTTGCCTTTTATGTTCTTCTATAGAACTAATTATTTTTCACTATAATTGGAAAGGTGAAGTCTTTGGCCCTCCAAAAATATGTATTTTAAATGTACATTTCTTTTGTTACTTATAATTATATTTTTTTATTTGTTTAATTTTATATATAATAAATACATAGTGTAAAATAAGCAAATCATGTATTAATTAGTATTGACATTGCTTAAAGTGCATTAAGCATGTTTTAGTCCTAAAATGCAAATATTCATTTACTTTGAAATTAAAAATAGTTTCCCCTTGTTATACATAATTTTATTTTATATTGAAAAGTTATAGGATTTTTTTTTTCTTTTATGATACAATAAAACTAAATGAAGCATTTTCAACATTTTTCATCTAAAAAACGATTAAAATATTTTCTCCATGTTGAATTCTTAAGTAGAGTACTATTTACTCATGAATATATGGGCAAACTAGTATTTTACCCAACCCATTTCTTACCCAATCTATTTTAACCCATATCAAATATGGGCGGGTTGAATTAATTATTACCCATTTTATGTTGACCCATTTTCAACCCGCCCACATTTGACCCAACCCGCCCATTTGCCACCACTAATCCCAAATAAAACTCTCCAATATTTTACTCGGCTCAATAATATCAACTGATTCAGTCTTATTTACCATGTGTAGCCCATATACCCTTATATAGCTATTTTGGTTCACAACAACTGCAAAGAAGAGATAAACCGCATTAGATAAGTCTTGTGCAATGAGTTCGATTAAAAAAAACATACAGAGGATTGGAAACTTACATGAACCCTCCATTTAAAAAATCACCTACTCAATAACCAACTCGACCACCTTCGTGGGCGCGCTACTTTTTTTTTGAAATAGTGATTCTAAAAGCAACTATTTGTGCACTTCACCCCAAAATCAAACAACAAAAAAAAAAAGGCAAAATGTTAATATGAAAACTTACATAAATTCTACTAGTTTAGAAGCTATTTGCTTAGATACACTCTAATTTGTAATATTATGTATCTTACAAGATTTTGGTGCGCCCAGGTACGTCCAAATACATGTATCTCAGGATACATGAGGTCAAATTTGTTCTAGCTACATTGTATCCAAGTGAATCTGTATGTATCTGGGATGCATAAAAAATCTTTCTTGCCTCTCTCCTATCTCGCTCGCCACTTTCCTATGTATCTGTGATACATAACAAAATCTCGCACGCGTCCCTCCCCATCTCACTCACCTCTCTCCCTATTTTAGTGTATCTAGTAGCAAAAATATACAAATCTAAGTGTATTTTTCTCAATATATGGTAGAAAACTCTTAATTAGTGGTAAGATACGTAATATTTTGAAAGCATAGATAATAATAGTATATATGAAGAGCTATGAACTCCATGTTAAAAGGCTTATTCATACTGGGCTAGAACTGAGCTATAATGGGCTTATTGTTAGCCCATAAAGCATTAATAATCAAATTTTAGGCCCAAACCTTTTAGTGCAAATTCGAAAACCAGATAATTCTATATTCACTGACGGTTCGTTTCTTCTTCTGAAATTTGTAACCACCGAAATTCCGAATCGGAGCTCCGGCGACCTTCCGGATTTGGCCCTCTTCTTTGTCAGGTTCCTTCAGACTGTAGAATTTCTATTTGCAATATTTTTATATGATTTTTCCATGATATATAATTGGTTATCTCAGTTTTTTTTTTGGCTGTTTATATCTCTATTGTGCTGAAAATTGGGAAATAGTTAGGGTTTGTAAGCTTCCATGTATATAATTTTAAGCATGTTCTTTCAATTCGTTGTAATCTATATGTATATCATGTTATTTGATGATATTTGGAGAAATGTGTATTGGGTTTAACGGTAAAAGGAATAGTATCAATTTATATTTTGGTTATAGAATTGTATGTTTGTGTTAGGGAAACAAAAACAATAACATATCCCGTGTAATTACACAAAGTGGGGTATGGGGAGGGTAGTGTGTACGCAGACCTTATTCTAGAAGGTAAAGAGAATAGGTTGTTTCCGATAGATCCTCAACGTAAGTAAAAGCATTGTAAAGCAGTTCGAAATTAGAAACAATGGGAGTGAAGAAACCAAGATAAAATGCTAAAGAAAGCATGAAGTAGTAGACTAAAAGCGAAACAATCACTACCACAAAATTTGGAGTGCTAGAAACAGTAAAGAGTGGCATAAATGGAATGATAGGTAGTTTTAGATCATATCTAAATTGCCTTAAAAGAAAAAATATTTAGTATTGGATAAAATTTGGGTATACTTGCAGTGTAGGAATAGATGACTCACTTTCTCTAATGCCTCCTCACAAAGGAAACAACTAGAGCATAAGGTTATCCCTCTTTTCTTCAAGTTATCTTGAGTCAGAGCAACTTCTTTGGCAAATAACCATATGAAACATGAGATTATATGAGGTATTTTGCTTCTCCATATTTGTTTCCATGGCCAACTATGTGTTTGTGGGGTTGTCTGATTCATCAACTTGTAGGCTGAGTTAACTTTGAATTCCCCTCTGCTATTTCCCTTCCACCACATAACATCTTCCCCTGTTTGTAGCCCATTAAAAGCTTCCACAGTGTTGAGAAATTTCGCCACTCTTGCTATTTCCCTGTCATTATATTCTCTTCTGAAATTAAAGCTCCACCCCTGTTTTGTCCATAACTCTGCTATAATATTTTGTTGTCCCAGAACTACATTGTATATGTCAGGGATTCCAGGTTTCCCTTTTCATGTCACTCATCTTTCCAAAATCTTGTCTTACTTCTATTACAACTTTGATCTTTGCATTACTCTTAACTTCCTCCCACATGTCTCTTATTGATCTCCACAAACTCACTCCATAAGGTATAATCACTTCTTTGGTCATCCACATATCTTCACCTTCATATTTTGCACTTATTACCCTTTTCCATAGCATATGATTTTCATTGGCAAACTTCCACAACTATTTCATTCTGAGAGCTTTACTTTGCACCTTCAGGTTCTTTATCCCCATACCGCCTACCTTCTTGCTAGTTATCACTACTTTCCACTTCACTAGATGGAAGCCTTTCCTCTCCTTGTTGCCATGCCATAGAAACTTTCTCCTGATATTGTCCAGTCTCTTGATTACTCTTGTTGTATTGGGAACAAGGTGATCATTAAGTTGGCAAGGCATCTAGGACTGAATTAATGAGAGTTAGGTTGCCTCTGAAGGACAGATATTGAGTTTTTCATCTAGTCAATTTATTTTCACACCTCTCTAGCACACCCTTCCATATATCAATAGAGTTGTATTCTCCACCTAGAGGCATGCCCGAGTAAGTTGTTGGTAGAGTACCAATTTCCCCACGAAGGATTGCTGCTAGGCAGTTCATATTAATGATTTCATTGATTAAATACACTAAGCTCTTACCTTCCGTTGATATGTAGTCCAGACATTCCTTCAAACAGAATCATTATAAGTGTATAACCCTCAAATATTTCATTTGTTGTTCCTCAGCATCACAAAAACTTAGGGTGTCACCTGTTACTGCAGGTGTGTCACCTCCAAACTGTCACCACCCTCTCTAGCAACATCAAAACTTTTTCAACCAGGCTCTGTTGTTTGTTGTTTTGATCATACTATTCAACCCCTTCATAGTGATTAAGAACAAAAAGGTGACAATGGGTCACCTTGCCTAAGACCTCTTTGACTATTGAAAATCCTGCAGGGGCTCCATTAATAAGCACGGAAAACTTGAAAGTTGAAATACAATACTTTATCCATCTCAACCTTTCTGGCCGAAGCCCATTCTTTCCAACATCTTCGGTAGATACCTCCCGTTGACATGATCATATGCTTTCTCTATGTCCAGCTTGCATAGTATACCAGGTTTCTTCTGGAATCTATAGCTTCATTAGCAATCAACACAACATCCATGATCTGTCTACCTCTAATAAATGCCATATGTTGGGAATCAACCAATTATAAATCACCCCTTTCAGCCTGAAAAGCACTGAAGTAGGTCACATGCTATGCCTGAAAGGTTCTAGGAATTCCTAGGCACAAGGCAGGCGTCAACCTCCCCCCCCAAACCAAATATCACCAGGCTTCCAACTTGTTCACCCGATGGAAATGGTAAATTATGTGTGGGTTCTTAAATATATTCTTTACACTGTAAGAATCTAGGATTTCACTTCACTTCATGGTGTATAATAAATATCATCTTAATTCGCGTACTATTGCTATTGCACATGCCAAAAGGGCATAATGACTATTTTGTTCTAGTTCTTCGAGTATATCGCCTATTATGTGTCAGGTCCTCAAAAAGTAGTGCATTTTTGAGAATCCAACAGAGGTGTAACGTCATTTTTTGAGTGTCTGAGCAATATAGCCTAATGATACTTCAGCCATTATTTCTTTTCTCTATTTTGGTTGCATGATGAGGATTCTTTCCTTTTGTTCTTCTTGGGATTGGGGTGGGGAGTTTGCATGATGGTGCCCAGATCTCGAGGAGATGTTTTATTGTATACTGAGTTTTGATTCATTTCTTTAATGTACTCTGTGATCTCCTGATATTGCAGATATTTGAGTGACCATGGCTGAAACGGATCTTCAAATGATGATCAGTAACGTACCATCCCTTATTGAACAATTGGGGAAGGCATTAAATGATCTTGAATCTCATGAAAATGCCTCCGTAGATAAGGATTTAATCAAGGATATTGTAGGACACTTCCGGAATCTGAAGGCTGCAGTAGTGAAAAAATCCTTGGAACTGGAAATTAGAGAGAAGGCCTTTAAGGAACAAGAATCTGATGCTCATCTGCTGATTGCTTCACGAGAGGCAGATATTGCTGCTAGGGAACAGAAGTTGTGGGATCACTTGCAAGAACTTAAAGATGCTGCGGTGTCTGCAATTGCTGCAGCACGGGGAGATCATCAAGTGGAATCTCTCGAGCATACAGATGCAGAGGACAGCAAAGACATTGAGGTAAGCAGCTCTCTTGGTATAACAAATGCACTTCATATTGGCTCAGAGGTAAAATCCTCAGGCAGTGCTGCTGAAAATGCTGATGGTGCTTCTGGCAAGGTCGAACCTCGACCAGAACTGACACAATTATGTGAGCAGATGGATGCAAAAGGGCTTCTGCATTATATTATAGGGAGTAAAAAGAAAATGACCTCAATTTCTGAGGAACTCTCTGTTGCCCTTGATGGTGCAACTGAACCAGGCCGTTTGGTACTGGCTTCTCTTGAGTTCTTCTACTCTAATGATGAATCTAACTCTCAAGATGAGAAAGGCAAAAATGCTATCCGTAGCTTGCGCCAAGCCTGCCTTGTTTGTATGGAAGCCATAGCCTCCTTGTTGGCAAAGGCTAAACCAGGTGCTGATCACCTTCTGTTCCCTGAAATTAAGCAGCAAGCCAAGGCCATTGCTGATGAATGGAAGCCTAAGTTGGCTACTGCAGGCACTGATGCTGCCAATCAAGCTTCATTGGAAACTGAGGCATTTTTGCAGCTCCTTGCAACTTTTAGGATTGCTTCAGAGTTTGATGAAGAAGAGCTCTGCAAGCTTGTTCTTGCAGTGGCTCACAATAGGCAGGGACCTGAGCTCTGCCGTTCTCTTGGCTTAGCACACAAAATGCCAGGTTGGTTTTTTTTAACTGACCTGATGCAATCTGGAGACAGATCATCTCTTTTGAGATGCTCTTTTCACCGGATGATCTTGGACCTTTATAGTATACTCTGCGAGGAATTGTTCAAATGAAGCATCTAATAGCTGCTGCTTCTCAAAATTATGCAACCATCGTACTTCATTAGAAATGTATGCAACCATTTATGGTGTTAAATAATATTATTATTTCTTTGCAGGTGTCATTGAAGCATTGATTCATAGTGAGAAGCAAATCGATGCTGCTCGTTTTATTCATTCTTTCGAGCTGACTGAAAGATTTCCCCTTGTTCCGCTCCTGAAAGGCTATTTGAAGGACTTGAGACGAAACGCACAAGGAAAGGGAGGTAACTCGGGGAATGCAGAGGTACTGCTAGCCACATTAGTCCCTTGGTTGTTGTGCATTTGTTAAATTTGACCGTTTGGTAGCATAAATTTCTGTCAATAGAGTTGCATGCATGCACAGTTAACTTCCAATGATCGATAGATGAAGTCATTGATTATTACAAGTATTAATCCTCCTGTGTTTTATTATATGGATATGGAATATGCATACTCAAGGCTATTGCAGTCCTTAGAATACAAAAAAGTAATCTAATATTGAGAGTGAAGAAAATAATTGCCTTAAGTTACCATGAACATGATGTATATTACCTTTCATAATCTTTGGTTAATCAATGGAAATTTCATGAAATAAAACACTGAAATCCGCGTCTAAAAATATCTAAATAGTATCAAAATACATCTAATATGTTGGCCAAATCATCTGTACAAAGAGATATTTTCTCCTTGCTCCAAAAAAAAGTTCAGGAATACAAAAGAAGACTTCTACATAGTTGTTACATTGATTTCATTGCTTCGGAACAGTTACATATTTCTTTAATGCCAAATTATTCAAAAAATGTATGGAGTTGTTCTTAAGCAGATTTCCTTTTTTGTTGATAATCAAATAATCTGCCAGGACGAGTGGTGTACAGTTCAAAGCATGATGGATCTGCCCCTCTACCCCTAGGCAAACTTTCTTTTTTCGCCCTAACATCTTCTAACTCCTAACTCAGGATTGCCTCTGTCACCGTCCTAGGTAGTATGATAAAAATCGCACTGCTTATCAACAACACTGGCTTTAGATTATTGGCCTCTTTTCCTCTATTCTTATTATAGCATTCATACTGCACATCATGTAAAGAAAACTATTTTTTGGTGCCTTCGTGTCACCCACTTTATCTCTTATTTTGTGAACTTGTGAATACGGATTCTTTCTGAGATTCGACAATAAAATATCACCACGTCCAAGTTGTTACTGGTAATTTGTTAAATAGAAGCAAAAATAGAGGCAAAAAGCAAAAGGGGGGAGTGAGGCAATTTTATCTCTTATTTTGCAAACTTGCTTACAAAATATAGTGCAAACACGCAGGAACTTGCAGCTGTAAAGGCAATAGTACAATGTATTCGAGATTACAAGCTTGAAGCAGAATATCCACTTGATCCACTGCTGAGAAGGGTTGCTCAGTTGGAGAAAGCCATTTCTAACGACAAAGACCGGTCTAATGATAAGAAAAGACCTTCTGGATCAGGTAAACACCAGCATTTCAAGAGACCTCGAGTAACTGGAGGAACGCATGGATCTATCAGACATCCTAACGTTCTTAGCATACAGCCCCAATCTGTTTTAATTGAGAGAGCAGCTGCTAATAACCCAAGCAGACTTGTCCCCTCTGTTCTTGTTGAGAGAGCACCTCATGCAGGATTGCTCGATAAGTATGCTTATCTCAGTACATCTTATGATTATCAACCTCCAAGTCAAGCCACATATCCCCAGCAATCCTACGAGCAAAGATCATATTATTATCCAGCTGACGAGGGAATCGCTGCAAGTTCTTATACAGCTGCTCCCTTATCATCCAGTTATGCAAGTTATTCAGGCGGCATATTGCCAACAGCAGATGAGAGAATTAATGCAAGTTCTTATGGCAATTATGCAGGTAGCGGAACGCCAACAGCTTATCAACCCTACATGTAGACCGGTTAGTAATTATAGTTTGTAGTAACAGATTTTTCTTGCAAAGACAGTAGTAGATGACTGTCCTGATTATTTGCTATCCATAATAATACTTTAAGCTTTACTAAGCGCCTATCGTTCGCTGGTATTTTCATTATCTGGTGATGCTCAACTGTTTATCTTAAGCTAGAAGTTCATTATGCAGGGAGAACCTGACCACAAGTTTAAGTTATATATGCCGTCATTGTAAAAAGTATTATCAGGTTACTCGAGATATTTACCCGGGTAAGTTTTTTTACAATGTGAAACTTGTAATGTCGAAAAAATAAGATAGGCTAAAGATAATGTGATGTTGTTAAGTTCTTAGAATAAATTGTGTTATTCTTGGTTGGAATGTTACCTTTTTAATTAATGTTGGATCAAAATGATGCATTTGTATAAAGCCATGGCCTTGCAATAAAATCAAATATGTACATATAGGAAAATTAAATAAGTACCCTTACACTATGGTCCAAGATAATAAAGGATATTTATTATTCAGAAATAAATGTAAGGAAAATCATGATGGATAAGATTTTACGACCTTGATACATGTCCGGGTTCGAATCTTAGGAATGTAACAATCATGGTAGGGGACGTTTTTTCCTTTAATGTGCATTATGCGATGCAAATTGATAAAGTGTATATATACTCGATTTTGTAACTATCATTTATGTTATACAAGTAGTGCTTCGAAACAACTTTAGACATGTAGTGTTTGGAATTTCATATGGCTTGAATTCAGATATTTTTGTTTGAATTTCAACCATATGAAACTTAAGGTATATAATATGTCTTATTTCAAAGTGGTGTATATATGAAAAAAGATTAGAAAATTTGTTATAGGTTAAATGGGTATCTCCAAAATAAGGTACCTTGTACAATTTTGATGCGCGCCTCCAAATAAATTGAGGCATAAAATGAATATCGAATATCAGGTGAAAAAAAAAGTTCATTGAATATGTTTGAAGACCCATTGGTCAAAAGAAAGATACAATTGGATATTATCTCTAAGTTCTTCAATGATATGAGACTATCACTTTCACATCCATCTGTTTATATCAGTTTGAATAATATGGTGATTGATACATCACAACATTTATTAAAACTTTGGTTAATTTATAACTATTGGTTTTGTGTGTTCAAATTGTTTTTCTCAATAGTTGCTATCAAAGAATAGATTAAATAAATTCGAAAACTAAATAAAATATGTAACTTGATTATTATTATTATTGGTCAAAATTTGAATTTTGACGCTCAAAAGTACCTTTTTTAAGATGTGTGTTCATATTACTTCATTAGCAAATATAAGAGGAACTATCAAAATTACGATTCTATCCTTAAAAAAAATGTACTCCTCGATCTTCCTTTGCTAGAAGATCTGCAATTATGTTCCACAACTTACAATTATTTCGAGTCTTTTCATCAAGAACCTGCATTCATGAATTACAAAGGTATAAGAAAGTGGGTCATTGTAAAATATTTTTATTACCTTGAGCGATATTTCAAGGAGTTAATTATCACTTCACCATAATTCTTTATGTAGAAATTATATTCATCTATGCTACCATATAAACTATTCAAATTCTATTGGTTGAGAATTTGTTAAGCATGCTCCTTCCGTCTCGATTTATACAATGTTATCTGACTTGACATGAAATTTAAAAAAGAAAATATTTTGAAATTTGAGGTCTAAAATAAGTCATATATTATTATGAATACAAATTATTTTCTCAAAGATAAAATAAATATTTTAAAGTTAAACTATTACAAAATATAAAAATATGTCTTTTTTTTTATCTGACTAAAAGAATGTTTGTCAAAAATAATTGAAACGAATAGAGTAATTTCAATTCATTTTCAGAAGTTTAAATTCAAAATTTGTGACTATAAAATATGAAAATCATAATCATCCCATTACAATCCATATCAATCTCGTTCGTCTACCATGTCAATTCCTATAATATGCATAATAATCGTACTACTACATTACAAGTAAAGACCAAGCTAGAGTTTTGTTCACATGTTCGATTGAATTCAATAGTTTTTTATTTATATTTTTATATTTATTTTAAATTATATACTCCCTCCGTCCCTATTTACTTGTCCATATTTCCTTTTTTAGTTGTCCCTATTTAGTTGTCTATTTTGACAAATCAAGAAAGGACAACAAATTTTTTCCTACTATACCCTTATTTACACTTCTTGAAAATTGTAAAAGTGTATGTTGTTTCCCTCCAATTTATTCTACTTGAATTCAAATAAGTGGTTGTAATTTTGAAGTGAAAAGTTGTCATAAGGGTAAAATTGTAACTTCACTGTGCTAATCATTGTTGCCTTAATCTGTGTGCCATTTCTAAAGTGGACAACTAAAAAGGGACGGAGGGAGTATATAAGTTATTATTAATAAAATCTAATAAAAAATTTAAACTATTAAAATACAAAACTTATATAATTCAATTTCTGACATGTCTTTTCATGGTCATTCTCTTCTTCAGAAAGACAGCAAATATTTTTTCTTGTTCAAAAAAAAGGCTGGCTTTAAATAAAATTCATATATGTCTATATAGGGGCCTTTTAAAAGTAGTACTTTTTTATTTATTTTTACAGACTACTTTTTGCCTTTTCCGTTAATAACTCGATTTTCACAAAAGGATTCTCTGAAATATTTATATCACTTTTTTCTTCCCTCTGAAAACAAAAGAGCGGATCTTTGCATAAAATATTTCGAGTTAGTAAAATTTCAAGAAGGATCGCATTTCAAATAGCATGTGATGATGCATGTAGATATTTATTTTAAAATAAATGTTACTTTATTTGTTTTAATTTGTTTCTTTATTTTTTATTTTTTTAGTTTTTTGTAATTTTTTAATTTTAATTTTTTATATGACATATTTATCACTATAAGATTAAAATAATATCGGAAGAGTTGATTAGATAGGACATTATGCAACTTTATATTATTGAGGAACTCTAGATATGAAGAAGAGGTGAGGTCGCGTATTAGTAAAAGGTTGGTAGGGGTAGCATCAGTGGCATAGCTATGTTTTGTAACAAGAGATTCAAAATCTGAAGAAATAAACACATAAACTAATCGAAGGGGGATCAACATCTACTACATATATGTATAAAAAATTAACTATGTACAAACATTAATATTTTTCGACGTGTGGGCAGAGGCGTATCCAGGAGGGGGTCACCGGGTTCACGTGAACCCATGCTCCCCTCCTGAAATTATATATAGTAGTGTTATATTTTTTTAAAATATTTAAATATAGATATGTGAACCCACACTTGAAGTATTATACCGTGCGATTATGTTAGGTGCACATCTCTAAGTGAGGTTAGAAATTTGAATCTTTTAGTTATCTTGTTTTATTTTCCTTTTTAAAATTGGGTAATGTCTCTCTAAGTGGTTTGGATAGGTAAAAATAACTTTGGACCTATAATTTTAAAATTTTAATTATTTTTAGTGATAAGAACCTAAATGTTAAATCAATCAAATTTATATGTTAGATCCACCTTTTTGTAATAGTGCACCCATCATCTCAAAATCCTGGATACGCCTCTGCGTGTGGGGTTCGGATGAACCCCTGAATAATGTATGTTGGCTCTGCCCTTGGGTAGCATGCTTTCTTGTTTTGTGTAGGTTTAGGCTTGTTAGTGTCTATCGTAGTACTAACTAGTTTTGGTCATATGTTATTTATTGTATTTAGATTATCACTGTTGTTATTGTTATTTTTCGTAGACTTAACAATTAATACTGCTATGCCCACGGGGTTTTTCAAAAACAATTTTAAAGGTAAAATATGCATACACTCTACCATTTTTAAATCCTACATAGTGGGATTTCATTGAATAATTATATATCTTTAATTTAAAACTCTAAAATTTAAAAATTCTTCTTACTTTCTAAAAGTTAAACCAAATGAAAATAAAATAAATAAAGAAATCATTAATTATTTTTCATAATCTATATATATAGGTTGTATAGGTGACATTAATTGCTAGAATTAATCATGTATCACATGATGTTCAGATCATTGCTGTTTTTTTTCTCCTCTCTATTTACCTCTAGAAACCTTTAGGTATTGTTAGATTTTGTCAAGAAGATAGCTATTCCTCCATTAAAATTAAATGTATATTTACCAATGTGGGGTTTGATGCAATCAGAGGTCTCGAGTTCGAGTCTTGAATATGGAGAAAATATTGTTGGGAGTGCCATCCCTGAATGGGTCCTGCAGTGCACGATCTGAATTAAATCGGAATTTTAATGTGAATTTCGAAAATCGAATGGAAAACCAAAAAAAAATGTATATTTGGACATAAAAAATTGTTATTATTATTATTCCTTGTATCAAGAATAACTCCAAACTATTTTTGTTGTAATATTAATTAAAGTGAAAGCAACGTCAATATAAATTGTGATGGAAAAAATGAGGATTCTTTCATGAAACTTTTGAGAAGTAAGAAAATTATATTTGAAATGTTGTTGTTATAAATAAATTTATCAGATATAAATATAAATTTGAGTAATTGAATTTTAATATAAATTTGAAATTATGTGAGATGAAGTTAGAAGTTTTGTTGGGACATACAATTTAGATTTTTAAATTGTATTTTTTGCTCATAAATATAATTTTTTCCTAAATTGTGAAATTATCAAAATTATTCCAATTATTTTTATACAATCTTACCAAATAAGTAAAAGTTTATCAATAACTACACGACCATGTTCATACTCTGTAAAATAATGATATGACATTCTCAAATTAAATTTTTTGGAGAATTGAGATATCATTCCATTATTTGAAATCACGAGATGAAATCGTATATCCAAACAAAGTGTTGTTTGGCTCCAATATTCCCAACTATATTTATGAAAAATTTGGGAAATAGTTTGATCATATAACTTGTCACTATTTGACAAATATATCAAGTTCTCAAATACTAGAAAAATTAGTATTCAGGCCAAATTTTAGCATTTGAGAAATTTTTATATTTTATAAAAACACCTAACATTTACAATTTTGGACTGAATTTCAGTCCTAGTTCATTGTACAAACTTCATACAGTTAATATACATT